TTATTACTAAATGAGCTACGATTTAGAGGAATGGAGAAGGTGCGCTATCACCTTGAGGTAAGGAGGACCTGGAGTTGGAGCCTTGGAGCTGGAAGTGAGTGGAGGCAACTCAAGTAAGCAGTCACTGTCGTCGAGAGCTTGAGGTTAATCAAGAGATGAGGAGTAAAGCTAAGAGGAGGAATCTAAAAATTCCAAATTTGATGCTCGATAGTTGACTACTAGGGTTAGTTGTTACTAAAATGAGTTGTGCAAATTGGGTTGGGCAATTGGGTTTGGAAAGACTGGATTCACTGGAAGTGCAAAAGGAATGGACTACACAATTGGGTTTGGAAAACTGGAAAAGGTATCGGCTGGGCAATTTAGGTTGGATTCGTATTGGGTTAGCTAATTGGACTAGATGAATAAAAATTAATTAGTAATATATTTACAAAAAAATATATAAATAAATAAATAAATAATTTTTATTTTAGCCAAATCCCCATAGGCTCCATGGAATAGAAGAAATTCCTTGCCAATATTCATGAAAAAAAAATGCTTCTATTCTTATCCTACGAGAATAAATATTCTTGAAATCTTTATTTTCATGATGAGGATTCTCACGAAACTCTCTGAGTCTCTAAGGAAATTGCCATCCCTATAAATTGAAGGTTGAGGTCAGCAGATGGAAAAGGGCTGATATGCCACAATTTGTAGAGTTCAAGGTTTCATTTTCCATAAAAAAAAAAAAAAAAAGCTGAAGGACAAATAAAAAAAAAAAAAAAAAAAAGCTGAAGGACAAATACCAATGAGTTGAGGGGTTGATAAGCCATTTTCGCCTTTTAATTTTTAGAAAAGATGTTCTACCTATTTCTAATTTCTTTAAATTTCTAATAATATCAATTTACTTCTGCATTCGGTGATTTTGTTTTGGAGAGATTTTCCTTGATAAATATTTGGTTGTACATGAAAAAAATTTATTCAAATTTTTTATTTTGTAGGAAAATTTTGTTTAAATGAATATTCTCTTTAGATAAGTTTAAACTGATTTTTTTATCGATAATTATTAATTATTGGCTCAAAGCAAATAAATTAAATATTTTAAATTATAAATAATAATAATTTTCAACTATCAACTATCAAATATCAATTATCATTTATATCTAAATAATTAATCTAAATAATCTCTTTATCTAGTAAGGGAGGTCAATAACATAAAGTTGTAAGAAATTACCTAACGAAATTGAGAAGAAAGTTTTCCCACCTTTCTTGAGATTGTGATATTGAAAGACAAAAATAAAGTAAATATGTCAACCTTACTCCTTATTTGTAGTGGTAATGTTAGCGTACGCAAATATTAATATAATAACCCTTTCCTAAGTAGAGGAGGAAAGCTTTTCCCAAAACAAATTCTAACGTAAGGTAATCCTCCAAACATTTTAAAGAGAGAAATGAAGTCCTTTATTTCTGGTGTGCTACAGTAGTACGGTGTAAGTATTTTACTTTCTTTCTAGCCATAAAACACTTGCACTTGCACTTCTAAAGGAATAGGAAGTATGTTATGGCAATGATAGCTGATGATTGAGTAAGATAAAATGTTGGGGTTAGAAAAAAAAAAAAAAAACTATTTTTCCACTACCCACTCATGACAATTTTTAGAAGGGAAAAATTGAATCTTAGCTCATCAGGCTAGCTTGTTGAATTAAAACAATCTTTGTTTTTATGGGAGTACGCTCGGGTTTAGTTTAAAGGTAAAAACCTACTTTTAGTTTTTTATTTTGTTAAATTTAAAGGTTTTAATCTCTCATATTATACTATGATATTTTTAATTTATCATTTTATTAGATTTGTAAAAGGTTTTAGCCACTTATGTTATATTATGATACTTTTAGTCCTTCATCTAATAAAATTAAAGAAAATAACCCTTATTTTATAACATTTTGTTAGTTCTATTAGTTAACTGTTAACTCTATTAGTTGATTTTTAATTAATTATTAGTTATCAAAAACATTCTTTCCGTTAACAGAGTTAATAGAATTAATTTTATAATATTTCGTTAATTCTATTAATTAATTATTAGTTGACTATTAGTTGATAAAAATATATTTTTAACTAATAAAGTTAACAATCAATATAAAGTAATGATTATTTTTTTTAATTTTAATAAGTAAGGGATTAAAAGTTATAAATCTAATAAAGTAAAAAGTTAAAAACATTATTAGATAAAATAAATACTAAAACTTCAAACTTAGTAAGGTGAAGACTTAAAAGTAGATTTTTGTTCAATTTAAAAATGTCTTTGAGCAAGTTCCCAATGCTATTCTCTTAAACCGCAATATTATACTAATAGTATTTGTTGGAATAGGCCCAGCCCAACACCCAAACAGTACTGGGCTATGCATAATGGGCCTAAGTTACCACCTGTTAGCCCAAGCTGAGGGAGCATCAGTACAAGCATACCCATGTGACCAATGCCAAATGGATCAATGGGAGGCTAATACATGTAGATGTATGTCAGCACCAAAGGGTTATAAATACCCCCCAACTACCTCAATGAAGCACCCTTACACAGAGTTAGTAATAGTACAACAATTCAACACTAATTTAATTTTGTTTATAATGGTATGAGTATCCCTTACAATTTAATCACTTTGTTGACAAAATTTGATTCCTTTAGTAGGTCATTGAAGAGATAATTCCTTATAAACTCGCATACTTTTAGTGTGAATAATTTATTTTTAATCAAATAGAGGAATTAATTTTGAGTTGGGTATAATTGACATGAGAACACTCTGAGCACTAAACTCTAAAAAAAAATTGTTGTTAAACAAAAAAAGTCCTGAGAAATGTGTAAAATCTTTAGATTTGGTATAAGGAATGATTAAATATCTCATAAAAAATAGTAATTAGGATCTTTGACCAAGTTAGGAGCTTTGATTTGTCATAATTTTCGTAGTATTGAAAAAATAGAAAATTATTTGAGAATGTAGATAGGTAGGACACACTTTTTTTTTAATTAATTTAGTTGAAAATTTATATCTTAGTAAAAAAATTTTTGGCTAATTTATGACTATTATTGTAGTCACAAATTTATTTATTTTGAAAATAATTCATTATTTTTATGATTTTTTAACAAATTATATATTTTGTCACAAAATAAAATTGTTACAAATAATAAATTTAGTCACAAGTAAAATTTAGTATTTGTGATAAAAATTAGTGCTCGTTTGGTGTAACTGGAGTTTTTAATAAAAGTTATGTTGAAAAAAACTATTGTAGAAGTACTGTTTTTATAAATAGAAAGAAAAATAATGATAAAATAGAAATAATGTCTTAATTTCATTAAAACTCAAATGAGAAATTCCTGTAGAAGCACTAATTCGGTGTTTTTGAGATTTGTAATAAAATGGACAAAATACTAACTTGTGAGAAATTATAGCATTTTTCACAAATTGTAGTGTTTTGTACAACTGGAGTTTTTAAACCCAAAAGAACTTCTCACAAATTGTACCAAACATAACCTTAATCATTTGTGATTTATATTTTTTTAGTAACTAATAACTATCTTATCGTAACAATTTTGCCAATCGCAAATTTAAGTCGTTTATTGTGACAAATTTTTTATATTAAATATAATTTTTGTACGGATATTAAATATTATAATTTTAAAAATTAATATTAGTGACTATTCTCTCAAATTAGTCACAAATATAAAGAATATTAGTAACCAACTAAAAATCAATTATTATTTTCTTGTAGTGAGTGGAAATAAAGAGTTTTCCCCTTGAAAACCACAGTTCAGTAAGGTAACTACTTTGTCATTTCAGCTAATCGAACGCTTTAATGGGCGATTACCTGGCTACATAGGCTATGGAAATGACAAATGTTCGTTTAGTCATGTTGATGATGTGGTGGAGGGTCACATTGCAGCAATGAAGAAAGGTCGGCCAGGTGAAAGATACCTACTTACAGGAGAAAATGCATCGTTCATGCATGTTTTTGACATGGCTGCTGTAATCACTGGAACATCAAAGCCTACATTTCGCATCCCCCTTGGAGTAATTGAAGTTTATGGATGGTTGTCTGTTCTGATCTCTCGGATTACTGGAAAACTTCCTCTCATTAGCCCCCCGGTATGCTCTGCTGCTTCCAGGCCTCCACAGCTGCGCAGTAATGTTGGATCTTCATGCATAATTAATCTTTTTCTTTTCTTTTGTTCTGATATGTTTTGTTTTCCTTTGAGCAGGCTGTACATGTTTTCAGACACCAGTGGGCATATTCCTGTGAGAAGGCCAAGCTGGAGCTGGGTTATAAACCTAGAAGCTTGAGGGAGGGACTAGAAGAGGTACTCCCCTGGTTAAAGAGCTTGGGTCTTATAAACTACTGAAAGGGAAATCATGCTTGTTCTTCAAGTTGTTACATCACTGTATATTTTAGCCGGTAACAATGTCTATGCTTAATTATCTCACTTAGTAGTAGTGGGTAATGAATAATGTTTCCTCTTTAGTCTTTCCAATGCTCATCTTGCAAGTTACAATCATGCTTTATCTGGTTATTAGGAGCTATGAATATCTGAAATGTAATTTTTTACTAACTAAAAAATCTATGCACTTGCATCTGCAGGTTTAGCTGTATTGATTAACGTGTATCAAACTCTTAGTAAATGATAGAGTTCTACTTATTGTAATAACCAGCTAAATTATCCCCTTCTCTTAAAATTCTGCAAGTTCAAAAGGCGCTAAGCCCTTGTTCTGGTGAGGATTAATTGTCAATTGATGAAGTTGTACTTTGGTATCTATACCTAAAATATAGGAGTAAATATAGAATTTCAGTCATTTAAATACTAGTAGTAGTAGGATTTTTACAAAAAAAAAAAACAAAAACAAAAACAAAAACAAAAACCTAGTAGTGGGAGAGCTGGAGAAATGGAAACAATTTGAAATACAGTGGAATTCAAGAAATAGAAATTCTATATTAGACCTTAAATTAAATGAGAAGGATATTGAAAAAAAAAAAAAATTCTGGAGAATCTTCTATATAATATATCAATCATCATATGTTTAAAATAAAAACTGGCTGTACTGCCACTCAGCCGGTGTATAATCCTTATTACTAGGAAGAAAAGTCAGAAAACAAGGTTTTGACCCGGAGATTATGCGGATTCTGGTGACTGGCGCAACAGGTTACCTCGGCGGAAGACTCTGCCGGTCTCTGCTGAGCCAGGGCTACTCCGTCCGTGCCTTGGTACGACCGACCAGCGACCTTTCTTCCCTTCCTTCTTCCTCCAGTGGCTCCGCAGTCGAGCTTGTCTACGGTGACGTCACGGACTACCGCTCCCTACTGGATGCCTGCTCCAGCGTCGACGTTATCTTCCACGCTGCAGCCCTTGTTGAGCCCTGGCTTCCAGATCCATCTCGATTCTTCACTGTATGCTCATTTCAATCTCAATTTTCGGTTTACTCTTTTGCAATTAGTTGACAAATTGCAAATTGAATCTTATTTATGCTGTCAATTGCCGGATTGCGTCAGGTTAATGTCCACGGGCTGAAGAACGTGCTGCAAGCAGCCAAAGAGACGAAGACGATCGAGAAGATTGTATACACGTCGTCGTTTTTTGCTCTCGGGCCGACGGACGGATATGTCGCCGATGAGAATCAAGTATAAATAAACCAATAGCTACCATGATTTAAGTAAGATTTCTACTTGTTACTTAACTTTGAGTTTATATGCGGTTTTGTTTCTTAAAGATGCATGCAGAGAAGTTCTTCTGCACGGAGTATGAGAGATCGAAGGCTTCAGCCGATAAGATTGCCTTACAAGCCGCATCGGAAGGAGTGCCGATTGTGCCGGTTTATCCCGGTGTTATTTACGGCCCAGGCAAGCTCACCGCCGGCAATGTTGTTGCTCAATTGGTAGGATTCTATCCATATTTGGTCTTTATAGCCTTGCTTTATTCTGCAATTAGTGGAAATAGAGCATTTCCTGTAAACCACGGTTCAAGTTGGGGCTAATTGTTTCTGTTCTATGTTTTCTTGAAGAAATTTTGTGGGAAAGGAGATATTTTTAGTCTTGATTGTCAGACAGGTTTTTTAAGAACAAAAATTTCTGAAACACATTATTTTGATTCTTTCATTGATCTATTAATTGCAGTATATGGTGTTAGTCTTCAAACTAAACTTTGGAAATCAAGGAATGACTGAAATTTACCTTTCTGAGTTTTCCTTAAATCTTTTATTTGATTATTTTCATTGAAAAAGTGTTTTACAGGGTAGACTGCACATTGAAAGTGTAGTTTGGCTTATAAGTTTAACATAAAAAATAGTTTCATTCAGGATATTTTAGTAAATTCATAGGCTAGATTACACTTTTAATATGCAGTCTGAACTATAAAACATGAATTCCTATTTTCATAGAGTATCTATTGCTTGATTTTTCTTTTTTCTTTTCTTTGTTCTTTTTAGGGTCTTCAGAACTTGTTGAGGACAGTATTAATATGTATGAAAGTTATGTGAATAATTATGATGTTCAAGATTACTACTTTGTCATTTCAGCTAATTGAACGCTTTAATTGGCGATTGCCTGGTTATATAGGCTATGGAAATGACAAATACTCGTTTAGTCATGTTGATGATGTAGTAGAGGGTCACATTGCAGCGATGAAGAAAGGTCGGGCAGGTGAAAGATACCTACTTACCGGAGAAAATGCATCATTCATGCATGTTTTTGACATGGCTGCTGTAATCACCAGCACATCAAAGCCTAGATTTTGCATCCCCCTTGGAGTAATTGAACTTTATGGATGGTTGTCTGTTCTTATCTCCCGGATTACTGGAAAGCTTCCTCTCATCAGCCCCCCGGTATGCTCTGCTCCATGCCTCCATGGCTTTGACTCTTAGTAGAGTTTTTCCTGCATTGTCAACCATCATTTTCTTTTTCCTTTTTATCACTTGAATATGTAATATCGAATGTCACATGGGAAACTTTTTTGGCTTGGTAGTAATTTTTTTCTTTTACACCAAAGAAGAAATTGTTAGGGTAAGTTGGTGGTATTTTCTTTTTCCCATCTTCATTGCTGCAGTAATGCTATACCTTCATGCAAAATCTTTTTCTCTTACATTGCTCTGATATGTTTTGTTTTCCTTTGAGCAGACTGTGAATGTTTTAAGACATCAGTGGGCATATTCTTGTGACAAGGCTAAGCTGGAGCTGGATTATAGACCTAGAAGCTTGAGGGAGGGACTAGAAGAGGTATTACCCTGGTTAAAGAGCTTGGGTCTTATAAAGTACTGAAAGGGAATCAAGCTTTTTCTTGGGTCTTATACAGTACTGAAAGGGAATCATGCTTTTTCTTCAAGTTGTTACATTGTTGTATTTTTGCGGGTACTACTGTGATGCTTGTTTTGATGTCAATGTTAAAATCTCACTCTTTATAATAATGTGAAATGAATGATGGTTCCTCTATACGACGTTCATCTTGCAACCACTGAAACAGTACCTATTGCGAATGCATACCAGGAAATATCAACTGCACATCAGAAATTAAGCTTAAACATGCATTATCTAACTCTCATCTGATGATATTACGATAATTCTGGCGATTATTAGTTGCGAATATCTACTTGACTACTTCTGACATGCAATTTCTAACCCTTAGCCATGCGTTTTTGCTATAAGATTGCATCATTCAACAATGTCTGGTGGTGTCAATTATCCCTTGATTCAATCGGTCAGGTTTTTTTTTATTTTTTATTTTTTTTTATTTTTAACTGGTAAGGACCAATTGCCAATTGATGAAGTTGTATTGTGGTACAGTATCTAATATCTATCCCCTAAAACAAAAGGGTTCCTTGTTTTGCAATCTGTCCAAACTACAAAATAAGAACCCTTAAATAGGGAAGAGTTTTCAATATTAGAGAGGTTGTTCCTTCATCAAAGGGAGGGTTTTCAATATTAGAGAGATTGTTCCTTCATCAAACGATTTATATGGTATAGTTTAGATTGCACAATAATTTTTTCAAAATAAAAATATAGAATTAAGTCTACGAAAATTAAGATATCATGAAATTAGGCCCATTTACAAGAATGGGATGAATGAAACAAGATATGGATCATACTTAATTTTTATTTATTGTGTGGTTAGAATTAAACTTTATGATATTTTTATACCATGATTTTCATTTTTTCTGTAAAGGATATCTGCAAGAAAAATGCAAAAATATTGTTTTTTGAATTTAAATACTACTGAGTAGTAAGTGCTACCAAAAAAGAGTGGGGGAATACCACACGGTTCGGAAATCATTTGGAGGCAGTAAAAAAATTAGGTAAATGGAAAGAACTGTTAGTTTGGTACAGACCAATTAGATTCTTGGATTCCAGCTGTGACATAAATTGGGAACTCATCTGTAATGGAATCACACTCATCTAATGTGGGAATCCAACGGTCGACTGCAAGTCCTCCCGACTATAATCTTCGGTCCACACCGGACCTTTCTCCCAAAACGACAACGGGGAAGTTATGGTACGAGGAATGCCGCCTCAAGCGGATGGCGAAAAACAGGAAAAGAATGGAAGCCCTCTCAAGTTCTACGTACTCCCTCCTCCAAAACCTCTCCATCTCCAGTAACATCTCTATCTCTATGTGTTCATTTAGTGTGTAATCTGAAGCTAACTCTAGTGCTTTTTCAATCAACAGAAGAAGCCAGCAAAGTCTCGCACAGTCGAGAAAGCAGTTGTCGTGGTCAAGAGGTCGGGTCAGGTGGGGTTGCAAACAAACCTGCCCCTGTTTACAAAGCACTGAGCAAGTCATTTCATAATTCATTTCCAATACTACCGAAAATTTTGTCCTTTTACCTTCACCATATCTGTCTATTTCTTTTAAGAGTTTCATGCATTACATTCCAAGTTATATTTTAAAAGTATAGTATCCATATTGAAATTAGTAAATTATCGTTAATGGAGTTTCATTATTCTAGTAATTGCAATGTCAATACTACACTTTTAATATATAGTTCAACCTAAAAAACACTTTTTTGTTGTTTTAATTGTGAGATTTGGTTAAAAAAAACCTAGTATGCATTTTTATGTCACTGGTTGTTGTTGAGTCCCTGCTAATATCCGGCGGATATCCTGTTTTCAAAGTTGTGTGGTTTGATGGATTGAGAGATTGCTTAATTATATTTTTGGTTGATATAGAATATCTAGGAGCAGAGTTTTGTTGAACCAGGTATATGCTTCTGTTGAAGCCAGAGCAGAAGCACTAGAGAAAGCAGAAAAATTGGAGTTGACTTAAGGAACTAATTTTCCTACCTTCACAAAGTCAGTGCTTCCCTACCATGTTAATGGTGGATTTTGGCTGGCAAATCCCTCTGTAGTTTACAATGAGATGGAAAAATTAGTGTTACCCAACAATTTGTGGCTCAAGTTTACCGTGGCATTGTGTGCTTAGTGATGCTCTTCGGCATAATAGGATCCTGGTTCTGCTATTACTAGTAACATAAACCAGTTTAATTTTGGGTTATGACTACTCTTCTCAGTGTATCGAACCAACTCACTTTTAATGAAAATAGACAACAGGGCCTCGCTGTCCTCTTTTGCAAGATGAATCTTCCAAAGCATGATGATGTTATTACTCTGATAGATGAAGAGGGTGATGAGTATCCAACCATATATTTGGCCAGAAAGACGGGACTCAGTGGTGGATGGAAAGGTTTTGCATTTGCTCATGAGTAGGCAGATGGGGATGCCTTAAGTTTTTCAGTTAATCCGACCCACATCATCTAAAGTATTGCACCTACTACAATCCAGCCCTTTCTCTTCTTCTCCCTGGTAGGCATATTTTAATTGAACTTTTGTTCTTAAATTGTGGTCTTTTGTTTAAGTTCAGTAACCCTCTACTATTTTCTTTTTTTAAATATGGATGGATTAGGACATGTTCTACTGTAGTTTATCTGTGTGATTTAGCAACCAAATACCTATCCCATCCTTCCTTTTCAATCCAAAAGAAAAAAAAAAAAAAAAAGAATTCTTTATCACTATTATTTTATCACCGATGACTTTGGATTGCTTACTTTGACATTTACATCGTTTATTTTTGTTCTTATCAGATATACATTGTAAGGGTGAATGACTCTGAACAAACTAACCAATAATAATTCTGAAATGTTAGAGCCAATAGAAGCAGTTCAGGTAACCCCTCTAGTGGATAATACCTGCAACAGTTGGATATGATTGTTATTTTCTTCGTCTCTTGATCATTTCAATTATTGACATTTAACTAATGATTTCCATCAAATCTTAAGAACATACAATTGTCATCAAGACGTATGCTACTGAGTCCCATAAGCATCTTTCTTGCAAATTATGATGTTATTTGCCTTGGTAGTCTTTGTGCTTGGGACCTACCCGGCATCACTCAACTTGTCTCACACTCCATTGACATTAAGCAAGGCACATGGTTTGCACCCTGAGGTGACTTGAGAAAAGTCTTGTATGCTCTTTTTTCCTTGGCCACGAGAATGGACTGCTTTAAAACTCAAAAGAAATTTGTTATCAGATTATCAGGCAAGATCGATACTGCTTAAGATATGTTCTAAATTCTGATTATGAAAGTGGTGACGGCTAGAAAAAGATACATTTTTCTCGTTCTCCAAGGCTCCAGCTGTTACTTCTTTATCTACAATAACATAGCATCAGCACCTCCTACGAGTTGTTTTTCTTTCATCTCCAGTGTTAAGTTTTTGAATATCTTTTTGAGACATTGATGTTATATAGAATTTTTTATTTTTTAGTCTAAATTATGTTGAATTATATAATAATTTTTTTATTATACATATTATCTAAATTAACAATTAAAACAACTATCAACGATTTGTTGACTGAGTAAAAAAAATTTAATTTTTTTTGTAAAATATCAAGTTTTAGTTTTATGAATAAAAGAATTATGTGTTGAAAGAGTTTTTTTTATAAAATCTGATATAACTCAATTAAAGATTAATACATATCTAATATAATTTTTAGATATCAAAAAATTAATATAAAAAATACAATTAAAAATGCCGTGTTTCTTCTCTTTGTTTCTATTCTGTTTACAAATTCATCATCTAGCTTGTCATACAAGAAGGGACGTCGGCAGAGTCCAGATTGATTGGTTTTATAAAGCATTCCAGATACAGCCATTTGCATGACTGTTGAGGAATTATATTTTTCGTGGATTAAATTATTATCCATTAGCCCCAAAACTTGACCTTTTCTTCATTTAATTTATTATGTACCGGCTTTCCTTGAGCATTGACAAACCGTGAAAAGTTGTGAAAAGTTGTGAAAAGTTGTGAAAAGTAGTGAAAAGTGGTGAGTTGTGTTGTTGCTGGAGCTGGACCCTCTCCAGTATCCAGCTTGCTACGTGAAAAATAAATTCAGCTCCACTCTTCTGGCCTCTTCCTGTCAGAAGTGTTTATGAATTTCAAGGGATTAGTAATTTTTTATTGTTTTTTAACCTGTACTTTATTTAATAAGTTAATAATGTAATAAATATATATTTATAATTTTATATATTTTTTTTTAATTTATTAAATATTTAAAATAGCAAAGCAAAATTAAAAATTAAAAGAAATAATACAATGAAAATC